TACATTGTTTGTGACATTCCTTTAACAATTTAAAATGCTCTACTTTTTATTTTTATTTTATTTTTATTTTATTTTATTTTATTTTATTATTATTTTTATTTATTTTTATTTTATTGTTATTTTTATTTATTTTTATTTTATCTTAATTTTAATTTTATTTTTTATGTTTATGTTTATTTTAATTTTATTTTATTTTTTATTTTATTATTTTTTATTTATTTTATTTTCATTTTATTTTATTTTATTTTTTATTTAATTAAGAATTTTGATCTGGTTTAATCTATTACACAAATTTCTAAATTACATCCTAAATCTAAATTACATCAACTCTACTCTACTCTAGCTTGTGAGGCACGACTAGCTGATACTCATTAAGCAGCGCCGAATTGTCTCATCAAGCATGCATTAAATATAACACAAAACATAGAAGTGTTTATCGAAAAATTTGTGTATATAAAGCTTTGCTACTTAGATAGTTACTTATAGAAAAAATTATATATTATTAATTAATAATTATTCAATTAAAATATAAATAAATTTAATATATTTATCAATTTTTATTTTTTTTTATTCTTTTTTTTTTAGTTAAATTAAAATTTAAAAATTAATAAATAAAAGAAGTCTAAACACATTTTGTTATGTTCTAAAAATTCAAAAATTATATATTTTATCATATTTAATTAACGTACTTTTATTTATAATATTTTTATTAATTTAAAAAAATATATTTACTAGATGCCGTTTAATATTTACTTCAAAATCAAATGAAGACAAAATAAATCTATAAAATCCTTTTCAAAAGCTCTATAATTAAACAGTTTTTTCTTTTACATTTTAACATAGTTAGTTAATAATAACTATTGCTTAATAATTTATTTAAAATTATAAAAAAACACACTTCATATACTATTTAATTTAACAATAAATTCCTGCCCACAAATTTGACTCAACAAGTCAAATACTCCCTTTAATAGTACTTTCCAGAGTATTTACCCTGCTTAGCATCTGCTACTGTGAATGGCTATATGCAATTCACAATGACTGTTTGCATTCAATCAACTAGACGCAATTTTGTATTTTGGTTTTCGCTTTTGGTCATCGTCGTCGCTTCATTTTGCAGCTTTTCCGATTGAAATTCAAATTCAGGCGCTGCGTTAATTAATTGAAAATCAACACAGTCAACACAGAGAAATACGCATACGCAGCGTGAAACATGCGCATGCGCATGCGCATGCGATGGCCCGTCACAGATGCATGCATGGCATTCACCGCAAAGCCAAATGAGCAAAAGAAAACAACAACAACAACAACAAAATCAAGAGAATTCTTCGCATTGAGCAATGGCCAACTAGCTGCACCTTGGATTTGCTGTTAACTGTTTTGCTGCTAGCCGTTCGTATTGCATTGGTTAATTAGGCATTCGTCTGTGGCTCGGCCTAAAGCATTTTGCACTAATTTGGAGCTCGCTGGCGTGCGCTCGCTCGCAAACACCCGCCTCCCCCGAACCGCCCCGCCCCGTCACTTATTGCCAAATGCGTCGCATTTTGCTGTCGACTAAATAAAGCCAGGCTGGGAGGCGACCGATGCCAATTCGGCATCTGATTTTATAACCCTTCTCCAGTTGAACAAATGAACATTGTATCAATTGATCAATTGATCAATGGAGCATAAATTGAAATTGCTAATTTTATGCTGCCGGAAAATAAGCGCAACACGATTTTCGCGCGGCTATTGAAAGCAATTTTCACGCTGTCTGAAAACAAAACTGGAGCAGGCATCAAATCTTTTATTTATAAACTCAC